GAAGACCGAGACAGAGAAGACCGAGACAGAGAAGACCGAGACAGAGACAGAGAAGACAGAGACAGAGACAGACAGAGATAGAGATAGAGACAGAGACAGAGACAGATCCCGACAGAGACCGAGACGGAGACAGAGACAGAGAGAGGGGAGGGAGAGAGGAGAGAGAGAGAGAGAGGTGGCAGGAAATGTGCAAGACGGCTCTCCCGACTTCGGCGTATACTAGGTATACGCCCGGGCGGTCAGCCCCCTTCTCGAGAAGGATGCTCCCGGGACGGTCAGCCCCCTTCTCGAGAAGGATGCTACCGGGACGCCCGAAGTCCCGGTCCCCGTCTTGCACAGGGAGGGGTTGTTCGGCCCCCCACCGACTGAAGATGTAGACGGTGCGCACCTGGCGAGAACGAATTCACGGACATTGCACTCTGCACGCATCGCTCACAGTTTCACAGTTCCTTACAGTCTCACCGCTCTTGCAGCGCTCGCTGACCGGTCTTTTTTTTCTGCTACGGCCTGGTTGTTGTCATGAAGTTGACCGCGTGAGCGATGCTCTGGCGGAGGCTAGAGCGAAGGCGCAAACGAACCAAGGATCTGTGCGGTTGGACACACGCGGCGTCGAAGGTTCGACCGCTTCTTTGGCTCTGTTTCGACCGCCTCTCCGTCGGAGTTGGCAATGCAACCCTGACAAAGTCATGTGCTGGCAGATGGTCCAACCGAACCTTTGGCTCCACAGGCCCACGAAAACGAAGTCATGGCCGAGGCCGTTCGGGAGCATACAGTTGAAACCCTGCTATAGTACAACGCATTTCTGGGCTTTTGACTCTGGAATTTCTATGAAGTGGGCGGATTAGGCTTTTGCCGGGCATGAGTGATGCTCTTGCGGACTTGGCTGCAGGGGCTGCGCGATGCGTTGGCCCTCGTATAGGGGGTGAAATGGCGCTGCCCGGTAGTTCTGTGCACCAGGTTTTTAATCATGGAATTTCTATTCGGTGGGCGGACTAAGGTTTTGCCGGGCATGAGTGAAGCTCTTGCGGACTTGGCTGCAGGGGCTGCGCGATGCGCTGGCTCGGATGAAATGGTGCTGCCCAGGGTGGTTCTGTGCATCAGGTTTTGGACAATGGAATTTCTATTAGGTGGGCGGACTATGGTTTTACCGGGCAGGAGCGATGCTCTGGCCCTCGGGTAGGAGATAAAATGGTGCTGATGCTCTGGCGGACTTGGCTGCAGCGGCTGCGCGATGCGCTGGCTAGGATGAAATGGCGCTGCCCAGGGTGGTTCTGTGCATCAGGTTTTTAAGCATGGAATTTCTATTAGGTGGGCGGACTATGGTTTTGCCGGGCATGAGCGATGCTCTGGCGGCTGCGCGATGCGCTGGCGAGGATGAAATGGTGCGGCCCAGGGTGGTTCTGTGCATCAGGTTGTGGACAATGGAATTTCTATTAAGTGGGCGGACTATGGTTTTGCCGGGCATGAGCGCATCCTGCTTGCATGGCATAGGCGTCTACACTTTTCGACGCCGTTTCCTTGGCACGCCATGCTGGTGCTTGTCGCGGCACTCTGCACAGATCCAATGAGCTAAAACGTCAACATGGTAGCGACTTGCTTTTGGCCGTGGCCGACCGCACTGGTCGCACGGGGGGTAGTTTCGCAGCGATTGGCACTCGGCACACGTCCAAGTTGGTAGAACTTTGACGCGGTAGCCACTTTTTCGTGGTCGTGGCTGACCACGACTTCAGCCTTCGCTGATGCCCGTTGCACTGTCGTCAGCCGCCGCCGCTTGCCCCCATAGTTCTGCGTTGCAGTGTATGGATCCAAGTCAAACTTCCAAGGCCTCTTCGCAGACTCGCTCAGCAGCAATCGAGCCAAATTGCCTCGTTCCCCCAGAGCTGTGTTCACTTGCAAGCACACGGCCTGAAAACCCAACTTTTGGTCTTCCGGGGGCAAGTCCGCGAAAACTGCTTCGCAGGCATCCATGACCATCCGCATCACGATCGTCCCATACAAACTGCTCTTCACGTACTGGTAGCTGTCGCCTTGGACGATCGCGAGGTCATGTCTCGGCTCTGCCTCGTCGCCCCAGTGCACCGCCCACTTCACGTTCGCCTCCCCAGTGACGTCCCACCACGTCGAAGGTCCACTTTGCTGCTGAGCGATGCTCTGCAGGCTTGTTGGGGCGGGGTTGAGCGCTATCAACGCCTTCGCTAGACCTCGCCGGTCTTGCGCGACGGCCAGCACCACCACAGCCGCGACCTTCACAAAGAAGTCTGCCATGTCCCCAGTGGCTCGCTGCACTGCCGCCAAAAGCTGGGTGCTCTCATTGGCAACTGGCAACGTCAACTTCGCAGCTTCAGCTCGGCTTGCGGCATCGGGCTCGCACCACACTCCCGCCTCCAAGGCCACGGAAACACGAGCACAATCACCGGGACGGTTGCGGACTATGGGTTTAGCTCCCGCCTCCAAGGGCACGGAAACACGGGCACACTCACCGGGACGGTTGCGGACTATAGGTTTAAAGTGTACAAAAATTGAAGCACGCGAAACGCAAGGGCCCTAAAAAGCTCGAACACGAATCCTATGGTCGTTTCCTCACCTAAGACGTTGTTTTTTCTTGTTCTATCCGACACCCGCTCTCCCCCCTGACCGGCTCCGTGGACACCAGCTCCAATGGTGCTGCCGAGCTTGCTGTTGTCTCCGGTGGCGCTGCCGCGCTGGCCGCTAAAATCGTCGTGGTCTGCTCGGGCTGCTCGGCCGGCAAGTCCTCGTGGCCCTGAAAATGTCGCCTGACCTCGCTGCTGCCTTGGAACTTGTACTCCTTGCGTTTGCTGTTCTTGCAACGAACGCAGGACAGGAAGTCAGGTCTTTCCACCGCAGGCCTTAAGCCGAGACCCACCAACGTGGCCACCTCCGCCTCGACCAAGTCGCTGTAGTGGACGCTGTCCGCCACAATTTTCTGGCATTGCTGCAGTACATTGGTCGTGACCTCCATGGCCATTCCCTCCTGCTCCGCCTCCTCTGGGGCCACCGCTGAGGAGGCCGCCTCTTCTTGCGCCGTCGGGGACTGAGCGATGCTCTGCCCCATCAAGAGCTGAGCGATGCTCTGCCCCGGGGAGTGCTGAGCGATGCTCTGCTCCTCCTCCGGCTGAGCGATGCTCTGCGCCGGCGCAAGCTGAGCGATGCTCTGCTCCATTGCAGTGTCTTTGTTCACTGCCAATCCCACCATTGCCACATCGATGAACTTCTTGTTCCAACCCCACGCCCTGGTGGCAGCGTAGGGAAGGTCGTTGTGCGCGATGTGCATCAAGTGGCCGTCGATGGGGATCTCTGTTCCCAACGATGTCGTCGCACGGGTCACCTTTTGCTTGCCATGCTTGTGCAATCGTTCCTCGAACAAATAAATAGGCCCCAGCGTCTTGCAGAAGTTCCAACCCAAACAAGGCTCCCGCCCAAGGTCTCGCTTCATTTCTGCCCAGAGGAATTCGCAGAAGCGGAGATACCGCTTGCGCATCTGCGCCGGAGTCGCGCTCATGCAGTCGGCAATGGCGCGAGCAAAAAGCGGATGCTCGGGGCTGCACGCCAAGATGTTGCCTTGGAAGACATGCTCCTGATTGGCACCTCGGCTCATGATGAGGTGCGGCTGCTCTTCCAACTTTCGATCCAAGACCCAGTCTGCGATGGAGACCGCCTCTTCCGAGGACTGCGCGATGCGCCGTTGTTCCGGCGGCGGCGGCGCGATGCGCTGACCTCCTCCATCTGCGGGCTGCGCGATGCGCTGTCCCTCCGCAGCGGTCTTCGCGGCTGCCACCAAGCGGTTGCCCTCCTCATAGATCTCCCGAAGGGTGTCTTCCAGCGGCCGCAGCAAGCACATCTTGATGTCCATGTAGTAACCGCCTTGCGCGTGGAGGCGTAGGTAACGCCAGAGGTCCGCGCGGTGCGATGCCTGTGTCCAGTTGCGATACCTCGCCAACAATGCGTCACCACCCAGTGCCAACACTTCTGCCTCGCAACTTGGGTCGTCCACAAAGACTCGCCGCAGACCGGAGGCGAACTCTTGCATCATCCGCGCCGACTCGGGGTAGTCCGCGTAGCAAGTCTGCCAGAGGATCTTCGGGGCGGCCTTCAGACTGGGCGCCACTTGCGTCCACGGCAACTTCACGGCAGCATGCGCGGACAACACCCGCACGACCTCTGCCCATGTGCGCGAGCTCGCTAACCTCGCTGCCACGAAGCTTTCTGCCAAGATCTCCTTCTCTGTGCAGTTCCACCCCGCGCAGACCACCACGGCGATCCAGGGGTCGTTCGCCGCTGAGCGATGCTCTGCGGCGCTGTCTTGCGCTGAGCGATGCTCTGCGGTTGCAGCAACCTCTCGCTGTGCTCGCATGTCCTCGAGCGTTGCCGTCACCAAGGTGTCCATGGCTCCAGACGCCTCTGATCGCTTGAAGTGCAACTGGTCTTTTGCGTTCTCATAGGCTTTCCCCACCAGGTTGAGGACAGTGCGAGGCGTCTCAGGCACTCCAAAGCACTTCCTAGCCAGCTGCAAACCTTCATACGCTCTGCCAGGCACTGACTCTCGTGCAGGAACGATGCCCACCTGCACCGCATGCTCCGCATGGAACGCTTCCAGACCTCCTGGCAAGATCCATTGCTCCATCACAACGTCCAAGGCGCATGGGCCAGCAGTCCCTGGTTTTACCAGGCTCCCGCTGCAGACGACAGCTGCCACCAACTTCGTCTCATCTCGGACCACCAACGCTGCTGGGATGTCCCCTGAAGATCTTATTGTTTATCAGGAGTTGCTAAAGAAGTTATAAAGTTTACAGGACTTAGCTAAGTGGTTAAGTTGTGAGTGAAAAGCTAGCAACTTAGCAGGTTTGCTAACTGGTTAGCTAACTGGTTAACAGTTTGTATATAAAAATGCACCTCGGTTAGGTTTTTGTGTTTTCTTAATCAAAAAATATACATTTACATAAATATTCACAGTGTCTTTGTATATTCTCCCTGATAGACATGCTTGTGAATTGACTGTTTTCTGCTTCAAAAAGCAAAAACAATTTTGTGTGTTCATGGGAAAACACATTCAAGTGTGCCTTGGAATGTGAATCCATTGTCCAGGCTTTGTTGTTTCCAAACACAAACAGAGTTAATCTCTATTTGTGTTAGTGTAAAATATTTTGGTTTTGGTTCCAGGTGTAGTATGTATAGGAGGATGGACATGGGTGCATTCTCCATAAGATTGGATCACTCATGCAACCCCAAATCCAGAGCAACACATAGGGCAATGGCCTTTGCCATGTACCCTTTCTCTACAGAGTTAATATCTAGTTAGTGTAAAATATTTTGGTTTTGGTTCCAGGTGTAGTATGTATAGGAGGATGGACATGGGTGTAAGATTGGATCACTCATTGTGCTATTTGGAGAACACTCTGCTGGACTCTAAACTTGGTGAGTGCCAGTGGGCTTGACCACCAAATGAATCCAGTACAGCATGGGGCATAGCTATATTAGCCCAAATGGACTTCCAAATGGCACCTCCATGAATTCCCAAATGGCACTTTGGTTGAGCCTGCCCACTCTATGATAGATCCAGGACTTGATCCTTTCATTGGGCCTATCAGGCATCTGGCATTGGATCATCTGCAGATCCCCTCAAGAGCTGTTCTCCAGGTTTTATGTCAAAGTAGCTAGTCCAACAAATGTCCACTGATTGATATGGACAACCTTAAACACCAAAACTCTTGATCATGCAAACGAACATATCTTACCATGAATTAGCATGAACCTATCTTTGGCCTGGTTGGCCCTTGAATGGGACATGAAAATCACCCACATGAAGCCATCAGGCTTGCAACAAGTAGTCCATGACATGTTCTGTGAAATATAGGTAAACTTTAAGCATCAAAATTCTTGATCATGCAAATGAACACACCTTACCATGAAGTAGCATGACTCTATCTTTGGCTGATTGGCCCTTGCATGGGGCATGAGAACCACCCACATGAAGCCATCAGGCTTGCAACAAGTAGTCAATGACATGCTATGTGAAATCTATGTGCCATGAGGACACTGGCAAGAACACATGCAAGAACACACTAGTACCACCAGGATGTTTTGAAACCTGCTGGAATGCGCTCTTTTGCTCACTTCATTTGAAGTGGCACAAGGATTCTGAAGTCCTTGTTTTCAAAGTGTGAATGTGCAGTGGTGCAAGCCAAGGAAGAAGTATGCACAAACTTTGCAATCTCATTCTGTCTAACAGTAGCAAAGCATCCAGTCTTGTCCACTTGAAGGACTTCGAGCATGGAAACCAAAGAGTAAGCAATGTTGTCAATGTCCACATGCATCCAGACTTGGCAAACTTGCAGGCTGTTGGTCGAACTGTGAAGGAAACAAAAATCACCTTTGCTGCAAATACCTGCTGGTTGGAGGTGTGCCTCTGAAGAGCTGTGCACAATGGTGTCAGCAGGCAACTCAAAGGCATTTAACACAATGGCTTTCAAAGCCTTGCTTGCAGCACCTTTGTTGACAAGCCTTGCCTTCTCTGAAAAGAGGTTTGGTTCCTTCAGCTTGGCAAGGTCATGGCAAATAAGCTCTGAAAGTACACTTTTTTCAAAGGTCAAAGTGTTGCTGATCGAGGTTGCATATCCTTAACAGGGTAAGGGTCAATGAAACCTGTGGTGGATAATAATGACATTGGTTGAACATTGAACCAACACAGTAAACACTAAACACTTTCTTGAAATAGCCAAGCATCGCTTTACAACCTTATGTTTTCTTTCTTGGACAAAACAGCTGGGAAGTTGACCATGTTTTTGGAGATGAGTGCCAAAGTGAAGACACCAATGAAATTTGGTATGCATATTCTCTTTGAAACCACATGATATGCAAAGAGAAAGGAATGTCGTCACAGCTCTGTCAACCATAGCAGGGGTAATCTTTCCCTTGGGTACCAGCTGGATCAGGTCAATGATGTCTGCAAGTGCAAAGAACACCTGACACTTGTCCTTTGTAGATTGCTCTGCATTTGGGATGACAATCTGCATAAGAAAGTATCCAAAAACACCCAAAAGACCTATAGCTTCAGATGCAGTGCATTTGAAAGTGTTCGCCTTCGCATTTGCAACCTGTCTTTTTTTGGAGAACAAAGATGCCAAAGGTGTTGTCATTGACTTTGGCAGGACCCAGGTTCTGAGGCATTGCTCAATGGTGGGGTACACATTGCCAAACATACCATCAAGCTCCACCAGCAACAAATGCATAATTGTTTGGAAAATGCCTGTGACCAAGAAACAATGCATCCAGTCATGTATGAACTGAGAAATTGGGAGAACATCTTGGGACAAGCTCCTGCAGTGGAGTAAACCATGGATGCTGTAGTTGAATCCAACAGCTTGCTGCCACAAAGCAAAGTCTCCTTTGTTAAGAGTTGCCTTTTTCTCTTCAAGTCTTGATATTGTTTCAGCAATGTCTTGGTCAGTGGATTGCTGAATCCTTGTGAGGTCCCATTCATCTGCCACTAGGGTGTTGGATCCATCTTCTTGTAGTAATCCAGACTTTGAAGTAACCAAATTTCTGCAAAATATGCAGAACTTTGTTCCTGCATCACCTTTGAGATTGAATATGTACTTGTGCGCAGATCCATCTTGTAAGAATGCACCCAGTGTATAAAACATTCTAATTGTACACCCTCCCTGATCTTTCAACAAGAACCCTGCTTCTTTGGGATTGCAGGAATCTGGGCGCAGGATGCAATTCAAAATAACTTGTGTCACTTGGGACATCCCAGACTCAAGTTCTCCAACAAAACTTGATCTACAAGCCATGATGCAAAACCATGCCTCTTCTTTGCTGAGGGCAACTGGACCAAATTCCATAAAGGAAATGTATATGCATTGGACTTTTCTGCTAACATCTGCACTTAACACATTTCCTGGTACCACCTCATCACTGTAATATATGATTCTCCAGGGCTTTTGTGCAGTGCATGGGTGTTGGGGCAGTGTCCTGGCCACCAACTCTTGCAGTCCACCACCTTGTTGATATGCAGCATGTAACATTGTGAGAAAGTTCACAAACAATAATGGCTTCTCTGCACCATCCTTGCAAACAACATTGGTAGTACTCAGCATAGGTCCATATGCTTGTAACTCCATATGCATTGTAACCTTTCACTGTGTAGTCTCTGGCTTCAGCCACATGTTTCCTGGAATGTAGGTCAGGAAGACCATTGAGTTCAATGTCTTGAATCACTTCTGAGAGCGCACTTGCTGTGATCTGAGGGTTGTTTCTCCTCAGGCCTTCCAACCTTCTAAGTTTGGAAGCCCTAGCATCCATGGCATAGAATGCTGAATGTGTAGCCTAAAACATGGTATGCCATGATAAGGTGGTGCATGTAACACTTGAAAATGCCAACACTTCAAAAGACACACATGATGTGAGGCCTTGTGGGCCTATAGCATATGATGATGAATTTGACATGAACACAAACCACAAGCTTGAAGGCTTAGCACATGATTGCATGTGCATGTTGTGAACAGGATGACACAGCAACAAACTGTGAGCCACCAACACTAAGTGCAAACTTAAACCAATTGACATACACTGCTTGACAAAAGTGCTTGCAGTTCTAGTCATAGAGTTATATTTGGTAAGCTTTTGATATTGGTCCCACACATGAAAACATTATGAATGACACATGCAATGCCTTGCAAACACATAGTGAAGGATTGCATGAAAGAAGCTTATGCTTGATAAATGATGTAGCCATGCGCATGAGCATGAAAGCTCTAGCAGTCAGTCTTTTCACAGCAAATCATGTGTACTGTCTTTGTAATCACTACACAGGCCTTGTTAGCCCAAACTTCATGTACAAACTGTTGAGCGCAGTATCTACATCTCTGTCTTCAAGTCTGTAAGTTGTTTGGAGTCTAAGGAGATAGTCTTCAGCAGAAAGCCTCAGATTGAGAAAACTAAATACACAGTAGGCACCCCTTACCATTTGTGAAACAACATTGCCACAACAAAACGGTATATCCAAAATCTGTTTAATTTGTTCATCCATGAACCAATCTGTCCACCCTGAACTGTAAAGAGATACTCTCCACATCCTTCTTCCATATGCCACCCAATACTCCATCAGAAACATGCGCCATGAGTCTCTCCAGTGCCTCTGAAAGTTTGCCAACACTTGGGCAGGGTCAGCTGGCTCTTCGGCCATGAGTGCAATAAGTTCAGGCAGAAGTGGCATTTTGAACAATATAGGTGCTGCATTCCATGACATGGACATGTACCTTTTGATGTGCGTAATGCATTGTACATGCCATGCAAAAGCAACAGGCTTGTCAGGCACCAGTTGGAAAAGCTTAGCATGAAAGCTGCAAAGCCACTGCAAAAACAAAGTCTCCTCATACAAGCTAGTCAGCTATCACAAAAGCCATAAAGCCATGAGACATGTTGCATGAGAGATGCTGCGCACATGTTTTCCCAACACATCACTCCAAGCTATTGATGTGACTCTATACCCCTTTGCAAACTTGGCAAAATTGATGTGAATCTACTCCTTTGGAAACTTAGCCAAATAGGCAGCCTTTGCCTCATGCAGGGCCAGGCTACCAAAAGCTTTGGCCTCCTCTTCACTTGCACCAGCATCAGCAG